CGCTGACGCCGGCCGGCCGCGGAGCGACATGTGTGCGCGCCTCGGTGAGCTGCGGGGCGGCGCGGAGGCCCGGAGCCTCCTGGGGGCTGCGCGACAGCGGCGCGACAGAGGTCCCGGCCGCCTGCTCCCCTCACTCACTTCCTGGCCTGGGACGGGTCACTTTCCTGCTCCGGGCCTTAAAGTTTCGCTGGCAGGCAGTGAGATGCGGGCAGGAGGGCTGCTGGGTCGCTGCTTGGTGTGGCTCTACTTTCCTTTCTTGCGGAGGGGCAGCTGCCCCAGAATCCTCAGATGGAACTAGAGGTGCTGGAGAGAGCTGTCACCAGAGTAGGAGCAGAGGGCAGGGGCCCAGGGCCCAGGGCTGATGCCCGTCAGCCTTGCCAAAGGCTCTCAAATGGAATCAGGACAGGCACTGGCTTGCCCCACTCTCCCCACGGGCACCGGGATGCTGTACTTGGGCATCAGACTGTTCTCGAGAGTCCTCACTGTTTGGCCAAAAGACCTGTGGGCCTCAGTTTCCTAATCTGTAAAATGGGGGTAATAGCATCCACCACCTAGCACTTATTTATCAAGATGAAGTTACCTCCTGAGAGTAAAGTGGGTCATCCACATTACTAAAAGCTCCCAGAATCTGAGCTGGGAATAAAACCCGGAACTGCTCTGAGACTCTGTCGGGTGCTGTAACCATAACCCCACGCTGCCCCTGTGTCTCCTGTTTGACCAGACTCTTGGTCCCGGGATGCCGCCGTCTCCAGCCCAGATCCGAGCCCAGGTCTGAGCCAGGTCTTGACAAGTAGGTGGGAGGAGGGAGAGGTGCCATGCCCTTCCTGTTTGGCTCGCTGTTCCCGCGAGCAGGGCACTCCGGCTCCTCCGGGCCTGTCCAGTCCATCCTCTGCCCTCTGCTTCTCCTCCACTTGGTCCAGCCCCAGAGGGCCCTGCAGGTTCCATGGGTGTCACAGGCCAGCAAGACCAGCCCTGACCTGGGTTTCGTTTTGCTTTGTTTGTGGTGTGGGCGATGGAAGCCAGCCTGACAAAGCTGTTCCAACCCTGAGCCACACCCCCGGGCCCCCTGCCTGTTTTATACCTGGGGGGTCTGGGGCCAGAGAGGGGAGGGGTTGGTGCTGGGTGGAAAAGGACGCCTGTGAGGACTCCGTGGCCCCTACCCCGCGCTCCCTGGGATTGCCTCCGGCATAGGGTCCCCGAGCACATCCATGGAGTGATTGCTTTTTTCCTTTGTGTCTGTCTTTTCTTTTCCTTCTTCTTTTCCTTAAAACTTAGCTGCAGTGCGCGGTGCATGTATGCAAACTTGATCAACCCTCTCTGCCACAGGTGGGGAGACAGGCCTAGGACAGGACTCACATTCCACGAGAGCAGCTAAAGGACGAGGGGGTCGTTCGGCTCTGGCCTGACCACCCTCTTCCAGTCCCAGGTGGCTGAGTGAGGCAGCGCAGGGCCAGCTGTGCGTCCTTGAGGGCAGGGCCAGGAGCCGGTGCGGAACTGCAGACAGCAGCTGCCTGCCTGAGGAAGGCACTGCCTGTCCCTGGGACGTGGTGTTAAGGGCTGCTTAGAATTTGCCCCTGGTCCCAGCCTTCCCCAATTTCTCTGCTCCGCTTGATGCCCCCTGCACTGAGCCTGCTCTGCCCAGTTCCCCCCGAATTTGCCCCGCTTTCCCATGCACTCATGGACCTCCTTCCCCACGAGACACAGGCTCTTCCTCCCATTTTACAGATGGGCAGATGGAGACCTGGGGGCTCCAATGAGTCATCAGCCTCTCGGCCATTCAGTTCTGCCACTGGGTTGAGTACCTATTGTGGGCCAGGTCAGGCCCAAACTGAATACTACCCAGGGCCTGAGCCCTGCCCAATGAGCTGGGCTCCTTGGGGCCTCGACAGTGACTGTCAAGCTCACCTAGTACCCGAGGGCTTGCTTGGCTTGGAGGAGGTGCTCAGTGAAGATTGTGTAGTGAACACATGAATGAATAAATGAATGCATGAATGAGGAGACAGGGAGGGTCACTGAGTCTAGAGCTGGTGACCTGAGCTAGACCCTGCTGCTCGTGACCCTGAGCACCGGCCAGGGCAACTACCTCTTATTACCGCCTGGGTGCTTTTCCAACCTCGGAGTCCCAAGGACTCTCACGAAGGAACTGTGAACCCCTTTACAGAGGTGGAAACTGAGACCCAGCCAAGGCAAGTTCCTGGCCTCAGGTCTAGAAATAGACTCAGGACCCAGCGTCCATTATTCCCCGGAGCCTGGCAGGCTGACCCGCACCCTGGCCCTGACCCGGCTGTCCCCACAGGTGGCCTGAGTGTGGATGACTTCCGGAAGGTGCTGATGAAGACGGGCTTGGTGCTGGTGGTGCTGGGCCACGTGAGCTTCATCGCCGCTGCTATCCTGCACGGCACCGTGCTGCGCTACGTGACCGCGCCCCGTGACGCGGTGGCTCTGCAGTACTGTGTGGTCAACATCGTGTCGGTCACTTCTGCCATTGTGGTACGGCCAGTCTGGGAGCATGGCTGGCAGGGAGAGGGGCTTGAAGGTCTTTGATGAGTTCCCACTGGCCCCTGGGTGGGTGAGCAGGGAGCCCCAAGCCCAACCCCTGTGGTGCCACTTACCAACCCTTTGCCTCGGTTTCCCAGCTGCACCTCGGGGGTGGTAAGAATGTCCACCTCAGAGAGCCCTGGTGAGTACGGAAGAGATCGTCCACCGAGGTATTCAGCACAGTGGTCAGTGCACATACTGTGAGCTGGGTTCTTAATGCTGTAGAAGAACACTCAAGCCACCCTCCGGCAAAAGGAAAGACCATCAGGGCAGCTTGGGAGAATCTAGAGAGTTTCACGGGGTGAAGGTCTCTGGGTATTGATGGATGAATAGGAGTTCACAGGTGGGCTGCAATTACTAACCCAGGTGTGTGGTGTGGTTGGGCTTGCAGGTGAAAGTGAGCAGAGATGGCCTTCCATGTGCGGAGCACGGCACGTCCAAAGCTGTGGAGTTGGGGATGGCCAAGATCTATTCTAGAGATCGTAAGAAAGCTGATCTGGCAGGAGCTTAGCGTTAGACCTTTTCTATAGCAACTGCCTGATAAATGGTAGCCATGCTCTGTCTGGCTGCGAGGCCTTGTGTGCAGACCACAGAAATGAAGGGCCTGGCAGTCTCAGAGTTACAAAGGCCTTTCCTGACAGTCAGAGAGGCAGGCGCAACTGCGGGGGTGCACCCATGTCGGAGCCTCCTCCCGGGGAAGGGCCCTCTCTGTGGCTGCAGAATGAAGCTGAGGTCCCCTGGCCTCCAGGCCACGCAGAGAGGCTCTGCCAGGATCACAGGGCCGTGGGGGCCTGCTGGGGCCTTGGAGTTGCGGTTCTCTGTGCCTCCCGGCAGCTGTGTGAGGAAGGCAGGGTTGGGAAGGCCTTGGGGATGGGCTCTGGGCTGGACCCCTTCCCCATCGCCCTCTGTAACGCAGTTAACCTCGCTGCTCCCGCCAGCGCTTTACACAGGATACTGAGACTTCGGGATCCACCAACCCCCCGCGGACACAAAGAAGCCAAACCTCTCTGGGCTGCGGAGGTCTGAGGCTTTCACAGCCAGCTCATCCTGCAGAGGAGGGCGAAGCCCAGAGGGGCTGAAGCCCTGAGTGCGGCTGCCCAGTGAAATAAAGCCGTTGCTGGAGCCCCGCGGTGCCACGCCTGCTGCGGCAAGGGGACCTCCGGGGGAAGGCCGGCTGAACCGTGCCCCGGGGCCCTTGTCTGCGCCCCAGGGTGGTCTGGAAGCCAGATGGAGGCAGGGTTAGAGGGGTTCTGCGCGGGGGCGCGTGTACGTGTGTGCGTGCGTGTGTGCGTGCGGAGAAGAGCAGGGAGGCGGTCCTGGCCGCTCAGAAGCAGGCTGCACATGGGTGTTCCCGTCAGGGCAATGAGGAAGGACAGCAGCCCAAGGCGGGGCTGAGCAGCTCACAGGACGGGGCATAGGTCACTGAGAACCCAGAATAACTTAAAGTCTCCTAGGGGGGTTGAACTCTACTCCATAAAGTACCCTGGGTTATTTTAATATAGTAACTTTGGTGTCAGTTCTTGCTGGTTGAGCTCGTTTTCTCCAGTCTTTGCCACTGCAGGGAGCTATGTCACATGTGTCATACACCCCAGTATGACCCTGCAGGTCTGGCACACACAGGTCCCCAGTTCTAAACTCAGCTGTAGGCAGTGGGGAGTCACGGAAGGTTGTAGGCAGGGAGCAACTGTTTTAGAAATAACGCTCAATGGGGGGAGCCATGAGGAGGCAATGCCTCTGCGCAGGTGGAGGCCCGAGGCCTAAGCTCAGCGTGGGATGAAGGGTGGGGGTTGGAGAGGGAGCATCCGTGGAGCCTATCCTAGGGTGGTCCTGACCCCCTGCTGTCCTCCAGCATGGGGGTCAGAGTTGACAGAGCCTCCCCCACAGGTCATCTCCTCCGGCATCGCAGCCATCGTGTTGTCACGCTACCTCCCCAGCACAGCTCTGGTAGGTGGCTGGGGTGAAGCTGTACAGGCCCAGGGGTGGAGGGAGGTGCAGTTGCCTGACATCCACTGACTGGAGGCCTCTCCCACCCAGCGCTGGACCGTGTATAGCTCCAGTGTGGCCTGTGCTCTTCTCTCTCTGACCTGTGCCCTCGGCCTCTTGGCCTCCATCGCAGTGACCCTTGCCACCCAGGGCCGGGCACTGCTAGCTGTCTGCACTTTTGGGAGCCCTGAACTGCTGGTGCTCACACCCGACTGCCCCTTCGACCCCACGCGAATTTACGTGAGTGCCTCGGCCTGGGATGAGGGGCTTCCCGGCCCTTGACGGAGTGGGCAGGGTTTGGGGAGTCCTGCCCTCCAGCCCCGGCCCCAGAGAGCCATCTCTGCGCCCTGTGCCCTGCAGAGCTCCAGCCTGTGCCTTTGGGGCATCTCACTAGTGCTCTGCGTGGCAGAGAGCGTGTTTGCCGTGCGCTGCATCCAGCTCACCCACCACGTGCTGGAACTGAGGCCCTGGTGGGGGAAAAGTGGCCACCACATGGTAAGTCGCCGCCACGTCCTGGGAGCCCTTGCCGGAGCGCTCAGGCCGGCCTGCCCTGCGCACCTGTATGCAGCGCCATCTGGAGAACGGGGGCACTGAAAGGAGAGGCTTGGAGGCTCAGAGGCCAGCCTTCCCAGCTCAGCCACACGCTGACGCTGGCTCTCCCTGGCCCAGAACACGTCTTGAGGAGGGCAAAGAGAAACTAGCCTGGAACAAGGGTCGCTCCAGGGGTCTGGTCGCCCAGGCATATTGATTCCCCCCAGCCCACCTCACCCCCACACCCCTGGTGTCCTGAAGCAGACCCCACTCAGACCCAGGGGCAGCAGCCGGCTGTGTGTCCACAGATGCAGAGCCTGGAGCCCCTGGAGGACCACAACCTGAGGAGCTGCACCAGCTCCACACCGCTGACCCTCTGAGGGCCAAGGCCTCGTCCAGCCCCATGGCCGCCGGGCCTGCCACCGAGCCTGCACTGCGACGGTCAAGTTCCAGAGGGCCCCAGGGTCCCTGGAGCCAGCCCAAGAGCGCTCAGTCGACGCTTGGGGACCCAGGAGGGGTGTTTCGGCCCCTGGCCCCAGCCACCCAGCCCACTGCACTGAAATGAAACTTTATTTGGAAGTTATTAAAAAGAACAAAGATGCTCCACGTGGCTGCATGCAGGATGGGGTGGGGCTCGGCCAGGGGCCTGCACTTCTTTCCCACACAGGACGTGGTAGAGGGGTTCTGCGCGGGGGCGCGTGTACGTGTGTGCGTGCGTGCGTGCGTGTATGTGTGTGTGTGTGAAAGAGAGAGAGACAGAGGCCAATACAGAGCGAGAGATCCATGGTCTGTGGCTGGCTGCGTCCATCTGAGTGCAAAAGGCAGGCAGGCTCAGGGAAGCCACAGCCAGCGGCTGGACGGGGAGGTTTCCATCTGTGTCCCGCCTCGGGCCGGCAGGAGCTGGGGCAGCAAGGGCAGGGACTTCTGCAGGGAAGGGCGGCTCAAGGGAGCTCCCGTCTCAAACCCCCGCAGCCCTGGAATTCTTCTCTCCCCTCTAAGTAAAAAGACAGGCTCGGTCACCCGAGCGCGCCGCCCCAGCGACCCCGGCTGAGCCCCGGCAGAGGCGAGCCCGACCTTCCGCGGCGGGGGAGCGGGCTGGCCTCGGGGCTGGGGTGCGTGGGAGACGGCGGGGTGTCCGGGTGAGCGCGCCGGACCCTGAGGGGCGGACGAGCCGGAGGGGAGGTCACCAGCTTGCTTCCGGGCGCCTTCCTTGCAGGGTCCCCGTCCCAGAGGCCGCCGCAGTGCAGACCGCGCGGGCGGGCCCCGGCCGGGCCCCAGCCTGGGTACACACGAGGGAGAGGAAGCTGAGAGCCGGGCGCGGCCGGCGGGGCGGGCCGAGGGCCGGCTCCTGCCCTCAGAACTGCGAGGCGCTGCTGGGGTCGCACTGCAGCAGGCGCACGATGGACGGGTCGCTCTTCGCCCCGCGGATGAACTCCTCCAGGGACAGCTTGCCTGCGGGGCGAGGCGGGCTGTGAGGGGGCCCCACGGGGAGAGGCGCGGGAAGGAGGGGCGCCGCCCGCCCCCGTCGCCCGCCGCGCCCCACCCTGCCCGCTCACCGTCGTTGTTGGTGTCCATTTGGCGGAAGATTTTCTCGGTCCTCTTTTCCGGGGTCGACTCGTCCTCCGGCATCTTCATCACGGACGACACCATCTTGTAAATGGCCTGGGGGTCGGGAGGGAGGGCAGGGGGTGAGAAGAGGGGGCCAGGCTCGGGACGTCCGGGGGACGGGCTTGGGGCGCGGGGGGTGCTCGGGAGGCTTTCCGGAAGAGGGGGCTGTTGGGGCGGACCCCGGCCGAGGCCCCTCGGGGGGCTGGGTGGGAAAGGAACTGCTGGCAGAGGGAGCCGCGCGCAGAGGTAATGCAGCGTGAAAGCTCCAAATGGGCGCCAAAACTTGGAGGGCGCAGGGAATCAGAAGAGATGTTGGAGGACGTCGAGGAGCAGATGGCCAAGGGCCTAGAACGCTGGGCACTGGCGCTCGCTCCTCGGTTTGTGGGTTCCGAGCTAGCACCACCCCCTCAGATCACCCGGGCCCTTCGCACCCCTCTTAGCTGACCCGGGCGCCAGGCCGAGGGGGTGGCACTGGCCTGCGTTACCGGCTGTGGCCCGCAGGGGGCGCCGGGCCGCGTTGAGGCAGCTGGGGTTTCACAGGGGCGGGAACATTATGCAAACGAATGCAAATGAGCACCTGCCGGCGGGCAGGGACCGCCTGAGCTCTGCTGGGCTGAGGGCTGCAGCTGCCACGTGCACGAGCTCCTGAGACGAGGCGCAGGACTGTCGTGCTAAACGTACAGAGCACCGAGTGCTTGTCCCGTGGCATGGATAGGCTGGGTCCCTGCGTCCTGGGGCTCAGTGACTCCATTTGTTGTCTCAACCGCCCAGCTTTTCTAGACTGACACCTCCAAAGTCTCCCTTCTTCCATACCTAAAACTTGCCCTGCCTGAGGGCCGGCTTCTGCCTCTGTGCTGCTCTTTTCCGGCCTCTTTCTTCCGGGTCTGTCCCCACACTGCCTCTGCGGCTCCTTCCAACACAGATCTCCACTGCCGTGTCCCGGTCCGGCAGGTCGCCCCCTCACTTCCTTCCGTCACTCACCGCACCCTCCAGACCGCCGTGCACCCCGCTCCTTCTGGATGCTGCCCCACGCGCCTTCTGCTCCCTCCCACTCCTCCCCGGGGCTCAGTTTACGCCGTGCTTTCTTAGCGAGGCCGTCTCTGACCCGAGCTGAGTCAGGGCACACGCGAAGGCCAGAGCCTCGGGGCTCTTCCTTTGAGGACGCCTCTCAGGAAGTAATTATGTGTCTATAGGACTACACTAGTCTCTCCTGTGTAGAGAAGAACCGCCGACACTAGCTAGTGCCCACATCTCAGAAACAAGCCCCGTGCCTGGCGCCTGGCGGGCACTGCCCCATTTAAAGGCCATTGGCGCCTCCCACAGCCTTCTGTACCAAGTCCAAATCATTTGGTCCCTGGTATTGAAGACACCTCACAGTTTGCCCGTTCTGACCACAGCACCGTCGCCCTCCCCGGAGGGGTAAATCTACCACAACCAAGCACTCCTGCGCCCTCCAGATTTCCCAGCATTCACAAGCTTTGCGTGGAATCATAGTACTCGCTACCATGTATCGGAAAACCAGGATTTGTCAGGTCCTTTGTGTGCATTGTTCTAAGTTTCACATCAGCCCTGAGAAGCTCCACTTTCCAGATTAGAAACCAAGGCTGGCGAAAGGAATGAATGGCAGAGACCAGGTTTGAACCTGCTCTCTCTCAGCTGCCGGCTGAATGCTTGGGTAGTGAGGGCTTGGATGTGCATGGACCTGCAGTACCATCCATTTCTCACTTGCAGTGCAGCCTTGGACAAGCACTTAACTTCTGTGAGCCTCAGTTACCATCTGTAAAATGGGAGTAACTGTGTCTCCCTTACTAGGATTGTCTAGAGGATTAAATGAGATACAACAGCTAGAACAGTGGATGGTGACAGTAAGAGGTCACTGAATAGCACCTTATATGATAGACATTATTCATCCATCGGGTCCTCAGTCTCCTGGGTTCCCAGATGTCCCCTTCTGTCACTGGGCTGGTCAGCATAGCCTGACAGTGATCTCTCCCCCCAGGTTGGGAGCCCCGGGAGACAGTCTTTCCTCCCATCATACCACCACCTGGCACCGGGCTGGGTCCTGAGCAGGACTGAGCAATGACTTAAGAGAATGACCACGCTCCCTGCAACTGCCCTTCTCCTGGGCCTCCTAATTAATTGTCTGGAATTGCTGCCCGATCATAGTTTCACTGGAGCCTACTTGTCATTAATCAGGCACTGGGGTTTTGCAGAGCTCTGTCTGCACCAGCTGTCTGAGACCTGTGTCTGCCATCACAGAAGCCGGGGCCTTGTAGCCAGACCAGCCAGAAAGGGGTCTTGGGGATGCCAAGGAATGGGCTGGCTTGACCGCGGCACGGAGTGGGGGCTGCGGCAGGACCGAGTTACCAGCACACACCAGTGCGGCCGCTCACGGTCAGGAAGAACATGAGCCTCCCTTGGATTTGTTGCTGTGCAGCTGACGCCCGAGTGCTCCTCCACCCTGTCTACCTCGACCCTTGTACCAAGACTCCCAGAGGTCCCGGGTGTCCAGTAAGTGAGAGTTAATGCCTGGCCCATAGGAGTCAGTAACACTGAGGCAGCAGGCACAGGAAGGGCATCATTTGCCAAGGCAGCCATTCCGCTCCCGCCGGAGAGCGTGGATCCAGACCCTTAGCAAGAGAGGCCAAGGTGAGGTCCAACTGGGGCTGGGTGAGATGGAAGGGGAAGCAGCCTGCAGAGCTGAGGGACTGGACGGGAAAAGATTCGGAGAAACAGGAGAGCCACAGGGGCTCATGCCAAGCAACGCAGCAGCTTTGCCCAGAGCACAAATCAGGGATGCGAGAAAGGCCATCCTGGCTACAGCAGAGGATACGTGCAGGAGAAATCATGACTGACAGTTGCTAGTGCTCATGAGTCCCAAGAATGTGCAGGGCCCTCTGCTAGAACCACCGTCCGCTTTATCCCTGCAGTGGCCTGGGAAGTGGGCGCTCAACACCCCCCACCACTGTGAAGAAAGCCATCAAGGCTTAGGGGCAGTGGGCAAGGAACCGAGATCCAAGGCCCTGACCATCTCCAGTGCTGGCTGAGGGGATAAGGGTTCTGGAAGACTTCTCCAAATAAAGCTAATGCTTATCACACTTAAGTGTGTACTCGGGGCTGGGGATATAGCACAGTGCCTGCCTGGCAAGCGCAAGGTCCTGAGTGTGATTCCCAGTACTAAGAGGAAAAAAGCTTGTACTCAGAAAGGGCACTCGTGTCAGGTCCCTAAATCTTATATCAGATGAGCAGCCTAAGAGATAAAGCCAGTTCCAGAAATAGAAGCCAGAACTCCTGAGTAGGAGTCCAGAGGCCTCACAAAAGGCAGCTCTGGGTGCCTGGCCAACCTGAGCCTGATTCCACTTAAGTACCGTGTGACTTTCAGCAAGTCCCTCCACCTTGATAAGCGTGACAGAGTTGTAGTGAGGAGCACTGAGTTCATGGGTTTAAAGCACCTCATTTGTTAGTGGGCTGTCAGCGGTCCCTCTGTTGGAAAGTGGCTGAGCATCTAGATGCACTGTGGACATGAGAGGCGAGTGGTCCACTCACAGGCTGTGTGGCCTCAAGCAAATTCCTTGACCTCTCTGAACATGTTTCTTCCTGAGTAAATGAGGATCAGTAAAACACAACTGTCCTTTACGCCTCACAAATGTCAAGTCATGAAACACTTGGCTGAAAAACTATTCCAGATTAAAGGGGACTAAGGAGACGTGACAACAAAACTCGATATGTAGCTGGGGGTGGTGGTGCATGCACTCGGGAGGCTGAGGCAGGAGGATCACCTCGAGTTTGAGGCCAGCCTGCGCTATAAAGTGAGTTCAAAGCCAGCCTGACCTGCATAGTGAGACCCTGTCTCAAAAAAAAAAAAAAAAATCAAACCTCAGTGCGTGATCTTAGACCATGGGAAAAAATGCTCTAGGGAATATTATGGAAACAGTTGGCAAAATTGGAATATGGTCTGCAGATTAGATAATAGCATCATTTCTATGTTAAATGTCCTGACATGGCTAATCAAATTATAAATTATGTAAGAGAATGCCCTTATTCTTAGGAAATACATTCTTTACCTAAGGATAAAGGGTCAATGTTCAGAACAACAAGAAAGCATTGCACCAATATAAAGATAAAGCAAAATGTTCATTGGTGACTCTGGGCTAAGGGTACGGAGTTTCCTCACTGCTTCTTTAAATCAGTCATTTTGTCAATGGGACTGTGAAAGTAGCACCTGCCACTACTTGCCTACCGTGTGTCTGTGGAGGGTTAAAAGGGGGTAAGGACAAGCTGCTGGGCCTGCGCCTAGCAGTGAGGGGCCCGGGCCCACCTGCACAATCTCCAGCATCTCCTCTCGGCTGATGTAGCCGTTGCCATCCAGGTCGTACATGCTGAAGGCCCACATGAGCTTCTGCTCCAGGCGGCCACGGGAGGTCACGCTCAGCGCGATGATGAACTCCCGGAAGTCGATGGTCCCGTCGCTGTTGGTGTCAAAGGTGCGGAAGACGTGCTCTGCGAACTTGGAGGCGTCGCCGTAGGGGAAGAAGTTGGCATAGATTTTCTTGAACTCGTCCACGTTGAGGATGCCCGTGGGGCAGTCCTTGAGGAAGCCCTTGTACCACTCCTGAAGCTCCAGCTCCGAGAACTCTGTGTTCTCCCGCAGGTCCTGCAGCATCTCTGGCCGCAGCTTGCTGTTCTGCTTGCCCATGACCGCAAAGCCAAGTCCCACCTGGGTCCCGCAGGGAGTCAAGGGACAGAGAGGAGTGGTCAGGCCCTTCTTGACACTACTCCAGAACGGGCCCCAGGTACCCCAACCTCTTTTGACCCAGCAAAAGAGGTACTGGCCTAGTGTCACCAGCTGCACTCCGGCACTCTGCCTCTACAACCCACTCTACACCTTCCCAGGAACAGAATCAGAGGAGGAGGAAGGAAAGGGGCTCACATTTACGGAGGCCTCCCTGGGGCCAGCCACCAAGCCTGCAAACGTGCACACCTTTCCACCCTCACAAGGGGGAGTGTGGGCTTAGCCCCATTTCCCAGATAGGAAGGCAGGCTCAGAGGCGTGCACCGGCCACACAGCCACTGATGACAGGACTGAGTCCCTGAGTTGCCCAGGCAGGTGCAGAGAGACCTTCCGGTCCTCCTTCCACCACTGTCCTCACCTCGCTCACCATGTCTGCTGCCCACAGAATACACTTGGGGCCCAGACAGAGCTCTTTTGTCTCCGACAGGTGTGCCTGGCAAGAAGCGGCACAGGATGGATGTTATTCTGGGTCCCAGAGCCAGATCACCGGAATTTGAATCCCAGCTGTTTCTTACCAGCTGTGTGACCTTGGGCAAGTTCCTTAAGCTCTTTCTGCCTCATCTGTAGAGTGGGGATAATAATAGCTCTTACCTCACCATATATGTGAAACACTTAGAGCCATGCCCACACCAATAATAAGCGCTACATATGTGTTACATAAATAAAATTTACATGTACACGAGTATCACAAATACCCTGTAAAACGATATGCAAACAAGTCTACACTGACACGTATGACGTTACACTGCTCACCAAATCCGTTCACTGGATCCCATGCTGCTCACAGACCAGCCCACACCACCCAGGGGTCACCAGGCAGCCACAGAAAACATCTCCGACCCACCACTCCCAGGTACTGACACCTGGCAGCACAGCTCCATACCTGTACATCAAGACATACCAGCCCACGACCCCACATGTCTCATACATGCCATCACACGCCAACTCACATGCCAGCACCTCTCACATGGCCGGCTGCACGTGGGACCTTCAGGCACCTCTGTCATTTCCCTTTCTTTTTCCAGGGATGTTGTCAGGCCCCAGGAGAGGGAGCTGCACCCCTTCCCAAACCTGCTAGGGACCCTTTTCTAAGGAGACTCCTCCAGGCTCCCCCAGCGCTCCCCTTGTATCTAGTCCTGAAAGGTCTCCTCAGGGCAGGGGTTGACTGTGAGGCCAAAAGGAACGCAACGGACAGGAGCCAGCAGGCAGCCGTGGGTAGGGTCGGGGGCAGTGTGCGATGACCCCTCTCCTGAATGTGGGGAGGAGAGAGAGAGGGCAAGGGGGTTCCTTGTGCACATAAGGGCGGGCACATGTGTGAGAATGCATGTGCTCGTGCATGGTGTGTGTCCCCGGGTTCTGCATTACCTTTGTCTTTCTGTGTTTTCATCTACCTCCGTTTCTGTGCATTATATGTGCATGTGACCAGGTACGCACCTGTCACAGTGTGAAGGGAATGTAGCCGTGAGATCATCTGGGGGCCTGTGCGTGTCCTCAGCAGTGTCACATGCGTGTCTCTGTAAGTTGGTGCCCCTCCTTTCTACATCAGGCTCTTCTGGCCCAGGCAGAGGACCACAGAGCAAGCGTGCGGGACGGGGCCGGGAAATGCGCGGCGCTGGGCAGGGAGGTGTGTTTCTGAACCCCCTCCTCAAGGGCCAAGGAACTGGGTCACGGGGTTGGGGGCAGAGAGATGCGCTGGGCAGGGGAGCTTCTCGGGTACCCCCTCCTCCCTGCCACCCTCGGAGTTGCCCCTCCCAGTTGGAAGAAGATTCTGTTGTCCCCGCAAAGATCCCCTCAGACCCCAAAATAGAAGCAACCTCGCGGCTCGCCCTGAGAAACCCTCCCCGGGTTCCCATTCCAAACCTCCCCCGGCTCTGCGCTGAGCCCCCGCCTCAATTCTTGCAGCTCTCAGAGCGCCCCGCGCGTGACCCCTCCGGGAGGGGGCGCTCCGGGGAGGCCGAGCCCCGACTCCCCCGGGCTGGCCACGCAACGGTCAGGACCCTGGAGAGCGCCGAGCGCCGCCTGGGGAGCCCCTGCTCCCCGCAGTCCGGGCGGGAGGAATCCCCAGAGGCGCGGGGAGCCGCGGGATTGCCGAGCCCTGGACGTGGCCCCCGGCTCAGGGGCTGCCCCTCCCCGCATCCCCCAACCCCGGTCACGGCGCCCCCACTCACCCAGCGACGCCGAGACACCGACTGCGCAGGGAAGGCGGCGCTGCTGCAGCGCGCGGCGACAGAGGCGGCCGGAGGGCGGGCGGGACTGCGAGGGAGACGCCCCGCAGCGTTCGCCCGGAGCCCCTCCCCTGGGGGGGTCCCCTCCACCCGGGGCTGCGGGGGGCGGTGCGCCAGGCTCCGCCCCCGCCCGGCCGAGGGAAAAGGGCGCCCTCACTTCCCTCGTCCCCATCTCGAGGAAGCATACTGACGGGGGCGGAAGACCCGGTCCCCCATCTCCCCAGCATCGCCCCTGGAGAAGGCTGAAAGAAGGAGCGGGTCGGTGCGGAGACCTCTCTCCCCAGCCGTGGACAATCCCCGGCCGCGCCGCGCCTCTCCTCCCCCATTCCTACCTGGGCGCCGGGCCGCACGTCGCTCCGAGGGCGGAATCCGGATCCCGGGTGGTTGGATGGGCACCTTCTCTGCCTCCGCGCTTCAACTGCAGAGCCAGCTGAGCTGGGGGCTCTGCGGGGAGGCGGCAGCGCCCATCCCTCCAGTCCTGAGGTCTTGGGGCGGCCAGACACGCCCCCTACCCACCTCCACCTTAGAGGGCCCGCCCCCTGCCTACAACTCCGGATCTCACCTCCCACCCCTCCTTACCTCGAAACGCGGGCTCCTCCTCCTGCCCCCTCCAGCCTCTGCCAGCGCGGGCTTGTGACCTGTGCGGGGAGGAGAGTCCCTCCAGCTGGAGTTCCCGACATGCAGATGTCCCTGCCTTGCACGAAGGACAGCTCCTCCCCGGGGTAAGGGGGCTGCATCCTCCTGCCTCCAGCCTTTGCAGCAATCCCCACAGTCTGAGCTTAAATTCTGTCGCGCTCTATCTCTAGGATGTGGTCCTTATTGTCCCACTTTATAGATAAGGAAACTGAGGCTTAGGGGGGTTAAGTGATTTTTTTTTTCCAGTGTCCCACAGCTGTGGGCAAGAAACAATGGACATAACAGACAAGTCAATCCTGTAGTGTATTACATAAATTATCTGGGAAAAGATTGGGATGGTGGCAGATCAGGAGCTTTGGGGAGCATGCCAAGGCCTTTAGGATCTATTATAGGTGAGATGGGCAGTCCTGAAGCTTTGAGCAGAATAAGAGAGCCCGACTTCCAATCAGGAGCTCACCAGGGACATTATGTGAAGAATAAATTTTGAGGCTGGACATGGTGGCGCACGCCTGTAATCCCAGCACTGGGAGGCTGAGGCAGGAGGATTGTTGTGAGTTCAAGCCCAGCTTGGGCTACAAAGTGAGCTCAAGGCCAGCCTATAGTACAAAGTGAGACCTTGTCTCAAAAATAATAATAATAATAATAATGATAATGATGATAATGATGATGGGAGCAGGATGGCAGAGGTGGGTCTGGTCTCTGGACCTCCTGAGAAGGTCCATGGAGCTAGCAGCATTTCCCACCTGCCCGGAACGCTCCTCCTAGTCCTGTTCTTTCAGTGCCTGTAATTCAGACCCTCCTGGCTCCTCGGGGCTTAGACCAAAGCTCCACCTCCCAGACCAAACATTCTAGGCTGCCTGAGTGTGCGTGGCCTTTGTCCCTCCTGCTTGGGGGCAAGTGGGGAGGTCTCCACTGGAACTAGGGAGCCAGACTGGGGTGGAGGGGGGACAGCTGGACCCCCTGGAACAGTAGCTCCTCTGCGTGCCTTTGCTCTAGTGTTGGGACCCCCGTGGAGGCGTGAGAGACGCCAGACGCACGTGGGTGGTTCCCAGCTGCCTCCTGAATGAGGGCCTGCAGGTGGGGAGCAGGGAGCTGCTCCACCCCCACCCTGAGCCGGCCAGTGGCAGCCTCTCTCTGCTCTTCATGCTGGAGGGTCTGTCATGCTTGGGACAGGGGGAGTGGCCTGCCCTGTGGTCACCTCCTCAACATTTCCTTCCCCTGTGACTCCCTCCTCTCTCTCCTGCCTGAAGCTAGAATCTTCCCAGCCTGGTCTGGACCCTCCTTCCCCAGGAGAAGGACACTCAGTTTACCCTCTCTTCCTGCCTCCCCCAAGCTGATTCCTTGGCTCAGCTGGCTCCACCACTGTTCTGGGCACTCCGGTCTGCACCGTCTCCCCAGTAGATGGGGGCTTCCGAAGGTAGGACTGTGTCTTCTCCGCACGCCCGGCTCCCATTCCCATTGACTGCCCTTGCGCCTGGAATGAGGAGGTGCACCTGCACCAGCCGCAGGGGGAGGGGAGCGGAGGGGGCCTGAGCCAAAAGAGAACTGCGGGGGGGGGGGGGCAAATTGTACACCAAGGCCTTGGTCCAAGACTATAGCTCACAAAGGCGGGGCAGGGGGCGTCCCTCCCTGCTGGAGGACCCTCTGGAGCAGAGAGATTAGCTGGGTGACACAGGCAGAGAGAGGTGAGGCTCTGGATCCTGGAGCCCTCGGGCTTTTCTCTTTGAAGGCCTGTCCCAGGAGTTCCTGGGGCGGGGAGGTCCTGGCTGAGGGCCCCTGCCCCTCCCTCCTCAGGCTGAGGCTTGCAGGAGGGAGGGGGAGCCCGTGCTTCGGGGACCTGGAGACAGCCGAATGAGGGAACAGAGCAGCAGGCAGGTCCAGGGAGAGCGAGCAAGTCCCAGGATCTGAGAAGCACGCGAGTGGTTCAGAAACCAGGGCAACCACCCTTCTCTACCACCAGAGACAGACCGGCGCCCTGCATGTAGGTTCTCTGCATAAGCACTTGGGGTGGAGGGAGAGGGAACCGCATATCCTTTGAGCACCAACAACCGGTAAGCAGAATGGTCCACATGAACTGCCTCAGTGAGCCTGAGGAATCACTAATGTTACTGCCATTTTACAGATTTGTAGACTGAGGTGCAGAGGCTTGAAGTTCTCTGCCTGAGGTATGACAGCAAGAAAATGAGTGTCAGAATCTGAACTCAGCTCTGTGTGAGTCAGGGCCCCGGCCCCTCCCCGGAAGGCTCTCAGTGAAGTAGGTGGAAGTGGCCCCTCCCAAGCCTTCAAAGCGGCCCCAGCCCACCCCCAACTCCAGTACCTCTTGGGTCCCAAACAGTTTGGAAAATCCTGATGGGAGCAGATGGTGGGGACAGATGGAGGGAAAAGCATCTCGGGGCCGAATTACACAAACAAACATTGATAAAGTGATTAAAACCTCAGGCCACCCCTTTCCAAAAAGGCCTGCGCCCCCAGCTTGGTGCGCAACGAGCCGTGGGATGGGGGCTGGGGGGTCTCCGGATGCCCAGCATCTCAGCCCCACCGATCCCAGCTTCCGCCTGCCTCCCTTTGTGCCAGGGACCACCCCCGGACCAGAGCCCAGGGTGGCAGCGCTGCCAGGAGCACAGCCCGGGAGGGGGCAGGGCAGGCCTGGCTGTTCCCAGGAGTGGTGGCCATGAGGAGCTGAGAGGCTGGGGGGGTGGGAACGTCCTGCGAGTGGAACCGCGACCTGAAGTCAGGGGGATGCTGTGGGAGCTGGAGTCCCCCCCGGGAAGCCTCGCTCTCCACGTAGGGCTCGCTCGGAGAGCTAGCGTGCTGTCCAGGTCAGGGGAGCTGCTCCCACCCCACCCCCACCCTGAGGAGGGCTGAACCTTCTCCTCCCCTCTGCACCTGGAAGTCTCCATTGGACTGTGAGGATGGAGAGAAAAAAGGCTGAAGAAGTGCCTGGCACGGAGCCTGCACACAGCCCGTGCCCCCCGGGGTACAGTGGCTGGCAGGACTCTTACAACTCTCAGTGGGTGGCAGGGAAGCCATTGGACGACCGGAGGCTGGGGCAGGCTGGAGAGGGGCCTTCTGCTAAGCAGAGGTTTGGGCCGGAAGACTTCTCGCCGTGCCCCTGTGACTGCTGGCGCAGCTGCAGGGTCTGGCTTCAAGGTTCCTGTTATGGTTGATACGCGGTATCAACCTGAGGAGTCTAGAAGCTTAACTAAGTGACTCAGCAGTTCTACATCCTGGGGTGAAAAGGACATGCCCTGGGCCCTGGGATGTTGTTCTTTGTGTCAACTGGAGAAGTTTAGAAGGTTAACTATGTGACTCAGCAGGGGGCCAGGGTCCTTCCTTTGTATTCATCCTGAGCCTGTGCAAGAGGAGGGCATGGAGGTGGTGTGAGTGCTGCATGCCCCTGGGCGGGGTAGCCTGCTTACAGTGGAAGGGAGGAAAAGAGGCTTGGTCCCCTCCGCTTGTACTCCTGCTGTTTTTGCTGGGTTTTTTGCTGCCTTGAATTGTTGCCCTCTACCACGTGCCACTCTACCTTGGAGCCAGCCGAGTATGGACTGAAACCTCCACAAACAGTGAGCTAAATAAACCTTTCCTTCCTTAATTTTGGGTGTCAGGTATTTTGTCCCAGCAATGAGAGAAAAGTAACCAAGACAGTTCCCCAAGAAGAACCCGACTTCTGACTAAAGGAGCTGAACCTAGAATCACAGACCCCATGCAATACAGTGATGCATTTCAGCTGGCTCATAAGACCTGGGTTCAAATTCTGATCTGGGTTCAAATCCTGACCTGGGTTCAAATCCTGACATGGCCTTTTCCCAGCTTTGAGACAGTTGGCAAAACATTTCTGACCTGGGTCCTTCTTTGTAAAACTGCATTTCCAGCTACTTCCTGGACTTGCTCCCAGAAGCCCAGGTACGTACACCCCCGACTCAAGCAAGCCAGTCAAGGGCCAGCTCATCCATCGCCTTCCACCACAGCTCCCGGTCCTCCACGCACCAAACAAGCCCATGGCCCCGCTCCATCTGAGCCGCTCCTTCCTGCCCACCCTGGCACCTGCTCCCTCCCAAGTCCAGCTCCCCGGGAGGCCTCCCAGCCTGCCCGTCCTTCCCAAGCCCCATTCCTGCTCAGATCTGCCTTGTATTTCTGCCCTGGCTCCCTCATAGCTCCCCCTGCTGTGGTCAGTTTCTTTAAATCTGATTATCTTTCTCTCTGCTTAAAAACATTCTATGCCTCTGCACTGCCTTCCAGAGTAAGGGGACGTCCGGGCTGCTCTGGGCTGGTAGACCCCAGTTCTCACCTCCCACCTTGGCCTTGCCCTTGCACCTCCCTCTATCCTGTGACTCCCACCAGTGCAGCCTCCCCCCCGCACCTGGCAGGCAGCCAGCTTCTCCCCCACGTCGAAGGTGCTCACCATCCTCTCCCAGCCCTAATCTTTCCATGGGATCAGATCTGGATGGGGCTGGGAAAGTGACAGCTGGGGTCACATCCCAGCCAACTCTTGCTCAGCATAATAACTGCTCTCCCCTCTGCTGGGGGAAGCCTCTCTCAGCTGGAAGGGCCTCCGGGGCGGGCCAGAGAGGGACAGTCACTTGCTTGCGGTCACCCCACCAGGCCTGCCCTTTGGATGGCTCCCCCAGTTACAGCCTCTGACAGACGGACTTTCAGATGTTTCTTCCAGTTCCATAGCTGTGGAGCTTGATCTCACCGCTCCTCTCGGTCTATCTGGAACTGTTTGAAATCATTCCCGGGTCACAGCAAAGGCAATGGTCGCTTGAAAGTGCAGAGTGTCAGGAGGCCGAGTCCCACTTGTAGCT